ACGGGTATTCAACAAGATTCATAAAGGTATAAAAGGTTTCTATAATCTACGGGTATCTACATGAAAGTCTTTAAGATGTAAAGAAGGATTATCGTGTAAGGTGTTCTATATGCTCTCGTTATTGATTTCTTCATTGGGCACATAGCAGGTATAGCGCAGAGCATTCTGCTCCTGATTTTCCTCCCATTCACCCGTTATCTATAAAGTATTCTACAAGGCATTCTATGGTGCATTTTACGGGTATGTTATAGAATATTCCATAGGGTTATTTTTAGGACTTCCTATGGGGTACTCAGAGGGTATCATAGACATTGTGTATATTCTGTAAGCTAGTCTAAAGGGGATTGCAGATGATGTTCTACAAGGCCTATAAAAGGCCTAGTATGTAACGTCGTTTTGGGCTCTCTATCGGGTACTCCATAACGCATTGTATAAGGGGTTGTACAAGGCATCAACATGAACGTAAAGATTATCTTATAGAACGTATTCTTCAACCTAATGTATAGGCTATACGGCTATAGGGTACTCAAGAAGGTATATATGAGGTATTCTATAACGTATTACCTAGGATCATCTGCATGAAATTCTTTTGAGGTTTGTGGTATTCTTTAGGTTATTCTCTTCGACTCCTGGATCACTCCTAAAAATCCCTTACCCAATAGGCTGCTTCTTTATGAGGGGTTCTCAGATCTTGGGCTCGTTGCAAGGTTATCTATAGGTATTCTTACTTCCCAAATACCTATGGGGGTGTATAAAGTTTAATTTTTCGCAATAAGATTACCTTATTAGGGGCCAAGAGTTGAAAAGTTTGGTTTTGAGCCACTAAGTGTTATATGGGTTCAGGGTATATATACTGTATACAAGGACTGTCATGTATAGGGCCATAGGGGCATTCTGTAAGGTCTTCTATAGAGTATTCCAGACGGTCTTCCATGAGGCGTACGATATATAGAGGGCACTATGTGTTCCATAAGGTATTGTGTAGGGTATTCTGTGTCGTATTCTGTAAGGTACTTTAGATATTCAAAAGAAAAACGGGCTGTGACTGAAAGTATATGATAACGTATTCTAGAGGCTCTAGGGTATTCAATAAGGCATGAGGGTATTCTATATAAGTGCATTCCATATGAAAGGTTTCAAGATACATAGAGAAAGTATTCTACAGGACATGCTATAAGATATTCTATATAGTGTTCCGTATAGAGTATAGGGTATGTGTAATATAATGCGTGCGGTGTTATATGCGTTCAGGGTATATATACTGTATACATGGACTGTCATAAAAAGGGCCATAGGGGCATTCTGTAAGGTCTTCTATAGAGTATTCCAGACGGTCTTCCATGAGGCGTACGATTTCTAGAGGGTACTATGTGTTCCATGAAGTATTCTGCAGGGTATTCTATGTCGTATTCTGTAAGGCACCCTAGATATTCAAAAGATATACGGGCTGTGACTGAAAGTATATGATAAGGTATTCTAGAGGCTCCAGGGTATTCAATAAGGCATGAGGGTATTCTACATATATCAGTGCATTCCATATGAAAGGTTGCAAGATACATAGAGAAAGTATTCTACAGGACATCCTAAAGGATTTTCTATATAGTGTCTTGTATAAAGTGTCCTATAGGGTATGTGTAATATAATGCGTGCGGCGTGCGGGGTGTATCACATATAGGTGGTCTTGTATACAGTATGCGACAGGATATTCAGATGGGTTTCTACAGTTACAAGATATGAAGCTTATGAGAGTGGAATTTTGCACACTATTCCGAAATGTAATCTAAAGGGTGCTTTATTGGTGAAATACAAGGTATTGAACCCTGAAAGGTTCGCTAGATTTCGTGTTCACGGACATTATCTATAATCTCGATGCGTCTTATATATGGGAGGTGTAGAAATAGGGCCCTCTTTTCACATGTTGCGTGTTACCTTCAGAGCCCATACTGCTGCATGCAAAAACTTATACAGACACACAGAACATGCATGCAAGCTTGCGTTCTTTTGCAACGAGAAGAAGCCGTACGCGAATGTATGTCGCTTGGAAAAACTCAGGGTGTATATGAAGGAAATGCAGAATGTAAGGTTTGCGAAATCTTTGATGTAGTCGAAGCGTATTTAGTGAAGGACTTGTAAAGAGAAGGGAATACGTTATAGAATATCAATTATTTCGCATCCGGCTCTCAAACACACGAAAAAGGTGGATCCTTGAGGGGGGGGGGTAGCATATGTATAACACACGTCCATCCATCCATCCATCCATGCATGCATGCATGCATCCATGCATGCATGCATCCATCCATCCATCCATCCATCCATGCATCCATGCATTCAACTCATGCATACATGCATACATACATACGTACATAAGCATATGATATGTATGTGTATGCCATGTTCAGCCATGCTGTCGTCCTTTACATATACTTATAGACATGCATGCAAAGAGCATGGACACGGCAGGTATTTGGGCCGAGCACAGGATTGGCTGACCAAGTTGAAGGAGACGTCGCTCCGTGATTGCAATGCACGGAGCCATGCATGAGAACTGCTTAGGGCTGGCGGCTGTAGCTCGAGATTCCTTCACAAATTCGACATTACTGTAATCCGTGTAGTCGCAGCGATGTTTTGGTCAAGCTTTGGCCTTTGACGGTGCTGTTCAGCCTGCACGAAAACTAGGACAGGACTGGACATGTTCTCACGCTGACCCGCTTTTGCAAGCCGTCACACACAATTGCCCGTAGGCACGCAGTCAGCGGAGCTGTCGAAGAAGTGCTGATAGAATGTGATTCTACTAGTAGCTGCCAGCTGCGTGCTTCCGCCATGGTCGATGCGCCGCTCACACTGCCATGTGGCGTGTGCCTGCCCAATCGCTTGGCGAAAGCAGCGACGTCCGAGCATTTGGGAAACCCAAGGTTCACAGCAGCTGCAAGTAGCAACGCTCAGTCCAGCTACGAGGTCAAGATGTATCAAAGCTTTGCATGATCGTTGAAGGGCACATAAGGCATTGCCAAACACGAGTTGCCGTTCAGGACTGGCGAACCAACGAAGGAGCTGATCCAGCTGTACCGGAGGTGGGCTACCGGCGGGGCTGGGCTCATCATAACGGGGAGCCTTGGAGGCAGAGATGCGTTCACCCTCTTTTCAGCCACGAAGAACCCCAAGCACGGTAATTTACTTCCTTGCCGTTTCGGGCTGTGATAGGTCCCCTCACTACCAAAGCAGAGAAGAGAGACGCTAATCCTACAGCGGTTCGACAGCAGAGCATGAGTTCGGTGATTTTGTACTGAGTCTGGGGTTTAGGGTTTAGGGGCAGCGATTTGCACTGCTGCAGGTACCACTACCGCACCAGACCTGTCCTGCGACTGAAAAACTGGCTTACCATCAGAATCAGATTCTAAGAGTGCTTGAAGCCATACCAACCAGGGTAACGGCTAGGATGCTGATTGAAATGCTGCAGCACGGGCAGGAACCACCTTGAATAAGGCTAGCGGTATGAAGGTCTGCAAATCTCTCGATGCACCAGCTCAAATCAAGACACGGAAGTCCCAAATCCCAATGCAAAGGAATGTCATGGTGGACAGTGCCTATTTGGAGGGCCCGAGCAACGTTATCGCGAGTAAGGAGCATCCGACCTTGCTTTGGAAGGCCGAGCTGCGGGCGGGGATGGGGTCTCAGGCACCTGATCGTACACTCGAAGGTTGCATTCGCGGAAAATCCTTTGCCGACATACCCACGCGCAGATGTGCGGCTGCACGTAGATTTTGCAGAATTGCAGTTCTTTATGCGGTGTTTTTACACATGTTCACAGGTATGTGCTGTATATACAAGTCTTCACACTGCATCTTCCGTTCATACCAGTACGCAGTGTGCATAACATCTGCACGGAAATGTGGACAACCGTGCATGTTCCCGTGCGTGCAGCACTGCTCGCAGGAATGGGGTAGCGTGAGCACGACCCCGTCTGCAGGGAGCTCGGCGCCGGTGGCCATTGTGCACCATGGTAAGGATACGTGTTTGAGAGTGGCTTGCTCAAGATGGATTCCATGTCCATGCTACTGCAGGAGGAGTGGAAACGGCTTCTTTCATGAACAGCTTTCCCATTCTCAGAGGCCCAGGGTATTGCCAGGAATCACCCTGAGGTCGGTCAAGGAAGCAAGTATGATGAGACCTGTACTGTACACTGTACACACATACTATAACGACTTCAATTATATACTATAATCCCAAGAATTTCTATGATTACTTTAACTATCACATAGCAGCTTGATCTACCTTGAACCAAGGCAGCTCTCACACCCTGGGCGGCAGTGTCCGCTGTCCGTGAGCTGGCAAAGGCCCGCCGCCCCTTCCGAGGCCGGGAGCTTTTATCATACAATCGTCGCTATCGTCATATGGGAGTTTCCGAACAAATAGGGGATCCTAGTAATGTAGTGCCCTAAATAGTAGGATCCTTATTATAGGGACCCCCAAAATAAGGTACCCCTACTGTTCGGAAACTCCCATATCACAGCAATCACGACAATCGGACAATCATAGCACTGGAAAGCGAGATGCAGCAGTGCTGACACTCCTTGTACTTGCGTGGCTCCAAGGCAGACTAATCGGCCTAATCACCCATGGCTATCACAAGGAAAGGTCTTCTCCGGTTGACGGGAACAGCCGGACTTATAAGCCTAATCACCACAGCTATCATAACAGGAAGAGGCTGAACGTAAAGTGAAAAGCCGGACAGGTCTCCTTCAAGCTGCCGGGTGTTGGCCTCCAGCTTTTCCGGCGCCCACGGGCTTTGACTGAGGCCAGGGCCATGGAACGACCATGGGTTCAGGGGATGTAGGGCCTGGTGAAGTTTAGGGCCTTTTAGGGTCTATAGGGTTTAGGAAGTGGACTTGGGGAATATTGTCTTTGCCCCTGCCAGGGGCCAGGACAGCCTTTGGTTCTGCACTCGTATGCTAGGTACGTACGGAGCACATCGCATTTCATGCCTGAAGGACGAGGTCCGATCCCTGCCGTCCAAATTTGCCGCGGCATCCAAGATTTGCGTGGCTGCCGGCTTCCACGGTGTGCAGGTGCGGACCATCTACCGAGATGGTTTCATTCAGCAGACATAACCAAACCGATTGCTGTTTCCATGTCAGCGTCCATGTCCTGTTCAAAGGAAGGCCAGGAAGCAAAAGCGTTGGCAGGCAAGAAACCGGAAACCAGACCCCCACTAGCCGTAGCGACACAAGACTAGATAGGTTTCCGACAATCATGCAAGCCTGAGCTACCTCAAGATGCATACCAGCCTTGACTTGAGAACAAGATACAAGCGGGAGCACCAGTTTTTGCAGAGTCCGCAGGATGTGTTGTCGTCAGGTACATGCGGCGCATGGCTACCTGCTATCGCAGCTACCTGGCAGCTACCCGCTTGAATTCAATCCTGTTTGTTCTGTGGAGATACTTGTATGCCAGGACAAGATCGAGTTTCCACAGTGTCGGGTGCCTGAGGTTTCTGTCGCCACACACCAACCGGCGTTCAGACGAGTTCGGCGGCCCCCTGCGCAATCGCATGAGCTGCTTGGGGGGGTCCCGCAGTCGGGGTAGGGTAGTCTTTCCGAGTTGCGACACTTGACATATCATGCTGTTATGCTGGGCCCATTTGAGCACGGTCAGGCCACGTACGAGACCTGGAGAGGGCCACTAACAAGATGCAAAAAAGCCAGTCGCCAGAGCGCCTGAGCAAATTTGGGACTCACGCAGGAGGATTTTGTTGGACATTGTCGCCGCTGTCCGGATGGCCATGGGGTCAGGACTGGACATTCCGCCTTCCAGAAAGTTACTTTTCGAAGTCTCGGCTTTAAGATTCGGGTCCAGAGTCTGGGTATCTGTTGCCTCCCCTCCCGATCCCAGCCCCGCGCACTTGCAGACCTTGTGCATTGCTTGGGACCCTCAGCCTAAAGCGAGCGTGCCTTGGGTTTCGAGTTTGGGGGTCTGAGGATGCGCAATCGCAATTCCAGACGCCAAGGCGATCAAAACGCACGGAGACAGCACTGAGCCCTTGGGACTTTGTCTTTGATCACATTCCTGGAGCTTTGCGACTGAGATAAGAACTTGAACAGGCCTCGGGGTCTCGGCACTTCCAACCCCAAAACGTTCCGATACCCAAGGCATTGCCAACTAAGTCTCGCGATCTTGTTCATGATGTGTTGTCCAAGCCCCCCTCGCACCCCTGTAAAATCGGTTTGATGCGTTATCCCGCGACATCCCTTAATTACATCTCCTGCGCATCCCTGTCGTATCGCTCCCTACAGGCAAGTTGCTTTCCGTGAAGGTGAACTGCCAGGACTTCCGTGCAGGCGGTTTCAAGGAGTCGGAGGCCAATAGCCGCACACACGCATGGGCTGCGGTCTAAATTCGCCTGTCGGCGCAGTTATTCAGATTGACAGTAATGCGTTGAGGGAGCATCTTTTTTGCTCTTGGCTATGAAGCGGCACGCATTTCAACTACAGCTGTATGTGTGCATGCGTGCACATACACATGAAAAATGGATGTGCATATATGACATACACACAGACATGGAAACACGCTCGCACACATGTTTACGAAGCATGCAGATATGCATGTACATGGTTTGTGCACATATAGTTTAGTGCCATGTACACGCTCCGAACTACTGATGCCTGGGTGTATATGAAAGGTTACGCCCGAGTCGGACGTCGTGCGTGTTTTGCATTTGACTGTTCATGTTGAGGTGCTAGCTTGGTGATAGACTCCAGTGGTCGATTTGCTTGTGGTTTGGAAGCAAAACAGCAGAAGCCAATCGTTGCTTTACGCCTGCCTCGCTTCAGCATCTTGAAGTTGCTGTTAGATGGAGATGTACGGAACGTTACGAGTTTGCCATCCCCTCTTGTGCTTTTCTGTGAAGCAGCTACCCTCGCCTGAAGCTACCTGCCAACGCCTTGAGCAGTGGACCTGCTCGGCCGCATTCCCCACCAGCTAAACCCTCTCAAATCGAACCCTCCAGCCACCCCCACAAACTTGACCTGACCCATGGAAGGCACTGGAGCTTCTCGCCGAACTGGCGAAAGCGTCTGTGGATTTGGTGGAGGCCACAGATAGGAGTTGAAGGTTTAGGGTTTTTTCGTCGGCGTTTGGGTGTCGGTACAGCAGGTACAGCAGATCCCCTTGTGCTGTCACCTCTCGTGCTTAGTGTCCCTACTCCTTTTTGTTTAGTTGCATGCACCTTCGGGTTCTTGAAAAAGAGTTAGCATCAGAGCCTCTGCAGCTGGCTCATGACCCTTCGTGTGGTGGAATCGAAGAGGGCAAGTGGCATCTGAAGGGCAGTAGCATCCGTATGCATCCCCGCAGCTCCTGAGTTGGCGTGTCGATGGAGTCGGCAGTTCTGGTGAGGTGTCGGGAGGCACGTACGAGCACATGGCCTGCATGGGCCAAAGTGATCAGGACCCTGGGCCATGCACAGAGTGTGAGTGAGCGAGTGAGTGAGTGAGAGTTGGTGCGTGT